AACATATGGGAAAAACTGCGTTCAAAAGCAAATAAGTAACCTTCTGTTGACTGACAATCTGGTGCTTGAAAAAATATGAATCTTTTAATATATTGACACCCTGTAAAATGTATATGAATCATAAACATGGAAATATGTGTCTATATGTTTAATATATGTGAAATATATAAGGTATATACCTTCAATTTCTATTGAGACAGAAAATGTGATAAAATCGAATGCATTGATCTAAAAATCAGTGATCGAATGCAGTCGTGATAGTCCTTTGTGTCGCATTTTTCGAGGCTGTAGACACTCTTTCCACCCTGAGTGTAACCTACCAGACATCAGTGCTTGCCCGATTTGCAAATATCCTCTCAAGTCAAAACCAGAAAGCTTGGGCCAACGAGGCAGTCATAAACGGCGATTCTTCTACTTTGCTTTAGTGCTATATGGCCACTGCTGGCAAAATTATAGTCGTGTAGTGACCGACTGCTACAAAATTTAACTCCAAAATCGCAGTGAAAATGCCTTCTTTCTCAAATGCCCCGAGCCATGCACTCTTCAATATTCCCGGATATATGCTTTTGCTTCACTTCCTTTAGAATCATAACACGTTTTTGACCTATTCGAGAGTGACCTTGCATACGCCGTTTTTTTGAATGCGGATAATTTCAAAACTAAGCGATGAGACGCAAATCCCAGCGGCAAATTTTTCGAAAATTTTATATTTTATAGGATTTCATTGAAATAAGTCCAAAAAATTAAAAAACCAGACCCCCCCACCCCCCAAGGCTTTATTTACAACCGTAATTTTCGTGTTGAAATACGAGTCTAAACCGGAAGTAGTAGTTGGCTTAGTGCCAAAAGGTAAACAAATGCTCTGATTGGTCAAAAACGAAATTCGCCCTTGTTGCCTTATACACGTTTGAGAATGTAACTCGGCAAAACTAAAGACAAAAAAACTTTTTTGAAACGTATTATTGGAGTATTGGCAAGTTTCACCATTCAGAGATTTACAAACTAATATTGAAATAATGCAAGTAAAAAACAGTTTCATATACGCGCATTCACTAATGAGTAATGACAACTTATAAGCCATACATTCTCCGATAACGACGAAACGTTAATAATGAACAATTATTCGCCGAAGGCGAAGTGATTTTCGTCGAGGTGAATATGCACCGTAGTCACTGAGCCTGAGGCGAATAATTGTTTTAGTATAAATTTTTAATGAATAAAACAAAATATCCAAATAATAGTTCAATTAAAATTCAGAAATAAAACTGTTTTCGGCCTGTTCACAGTTACTGTCACTAAGTAATACAGTAATAGCCTTGCAGTGTTTCTTGTACGCACACGCTTTCAAAATGGCTTCTTGTGTGACATTATTGCTTTATTACAAAGTTGTTTTTCTCGATTTCCGCTTAGAATAGAAACACAATAACGGAAGGACTGTTTCACCAGACTTAACATTAATTTTTTCAGGAAATGGCTGAGAAATTTGGTAATAAAATGAAATGTAAAACCATAATAAAGTTTTAAAAACACTTTCCACTTTACAAGTTTCGAAAACACAATACAGCGGTCAAAACACCATACAGCACAATGAAAACATGACATATCAAAATAAATAGTATCGTACAAATTGAGAAATCTATAGGATACAAAACAAAATGAATTTAAAAGAATGTCACAGCAAAATTTTTCCAACAGTCGGGATAGTTTTTGCTATTTCAGTATTTGTCTGAAGTGAATGTTTCGGAGTTTTAAATGAGTTTTAACTAGATTGTCCGTGAATATGTTTGGCACAGTAAAATAAAGGAATCCTACCTTTCCAGTTAAATACAACAGTTGGTGTTTCTTTCGCTTTCTGGGGACGATTTTTTCAATATTTTGTCGATTTTGAAACCAAATTTGCCGAATCAATCTTTTTGAAAAGCATTATCTACTATACCCAAGTAGTAAATAATGTCTCAGATTTACTAGTCAACTAGCCAATCAGAACGCGCGAAAGCTCATTTGATATGCAAAATTTATACTAATCTTTTATATTTTATATAATGCTCATACATTAATATACGACGAAATCAGTTTCTGGGCCTTGAATAGGTATGGCACGTTGTACATATACTAAGACCGTCTATTTAGTTTAAATTTTGAAATGCGACCAGTTCCAACATGTTTGTCAATACAATAATAATGTGCTTCAGTGTTTACAACATAACCATAGGAAAATAACAACACACTGAGGCGAAGGCAACCAAGTTTAAAAATGTGCTACTGACTACTGTTAATAATAACAATGAAACTAAACGTATTTCTTCTGTAAACACGATAGTAAATTTATAGCTTAGCTATGTGGTGGTATAGACCTAAATACCATATTAAGCACGATCTATGTGAAACAACTCTAATCTGAAACAACTCGTAAACTTCCCCACACGTGGGAATAATACGCTCGATATAGTCCTAACAAACCTTAGCACTTATTACGACAAACCTACCAAATGTGCTCCGTTCGGGTTATCCGATTACGTGACCTTCGAGACTAGACCAATAACCATATCCTGGAGCTAAGGTTGGTACAAATTACTATTATCTGTTTATTGTTTTGAAAAAACAGACGAACAGCGTTCAATCTTAGGAACACGCTCAGCCATGTGGGACTTTGTGCCACTATTGTCGAGGAAACTCATGCGTTATATCAAATGTGGCCGTTTCATGTAAATAACTGTATCCTGTATAGATATAGCTCTTATAGTAGATACCATTTAGTGGGGGATATTAAAATGGTTACTATAAATTTGCGAGAAATATGAAATAAATACTATAATCGAATAACGATTCTTAGAAACTTCCTCGTACGACAACAATGAAAATTTGAGAAATTTAAATTTATTGTAATTTTTGTGTGTGTTTGATGTTATGTACTCAGGTGAATATGATGTTTGTGATGTTACTCTGAGTGTGCATCCACACAGGTAAACCTTTAGGATACTTGTTCAACAAATTGTAAGCTTTAAATCAAATTTTGACAACATTGCTATATCCTACGAATAGAACTTAATCATTGCATGGTATGAATAAACTTACTGTAGTTTAAAAAATAACTGACAATAATTGTAGCATGCAGTCTTGTAGACTTTATCTAAACGCTTGACCATTTGATTAAACTGACACGTCATTTCAAATGTTTGCTTGTCAGTATTTTATGGTTATCCAGCCCCTATCATAAATTAATTGTAGAAGCTATTTGCAAAAACTTAAGCGCTGCATGCCACTACAGCATTAAATTAAACTTTGAATTAGATTTTCAAGTTGTTATTTCGCCATGTTTGTTCAAGACCAAATATATTTCCTTTTCTTAGGCGTTTGAGCTGGTCGGATAATGCGAGCTTGACGAATTTAATTCAACCTGTCACCTGTCGAATTTAGCTGGGTTGACTGTGTTGTCATTTATTCGGAATTTTCCGAAGAAACTCGAAGCTTCAAAGAGAAATAGCACAAGTTTCAGAACGCGTTTAAGAACGTGTTCCTAACGCGTTCTGGAAGGTGTTCCAAACGCGTTCTGGAACGCGTTCTGGAATGTGTTCCGAACGCGTTCGCAGCATTAGGTTACTTCTTAGCAGTACTGTACATTAAATTTAGTGTACACTTGTGGTTTTCAAAGCAAATTTATATATTTACCCTCTAAAAGCTGCTTATAAAACCACAAAAAGTACTCAAGATTCAGGCGCAGCCTACAAAATTACGCGTTTTTTTCAGGAATGTCTTTATACTAGTATACCACTTATACCAATATGGTCTTACAATCTGAAATAAAATTTTTCCTTACTGTTACTGTGTTACATATTTTAATATCTTTATCTTGTGATCTCTAAAGTCCTTAGACTTGACTCTATAAGGAATATTACTCTAATTACTATTGTTCCCATTAAACTGCAAAACGACCGTTTTTTAGGCGGTTTGTCAGTGACAGTTTTGTCAATTACGCCGCTTGCAACGAATTGTGATCACGAGGTACACAAATTTGTCCTTCGTACTTGACAAAACTGTCACTCACAAACTGCTTAAAAAAACGGTCGTTTCGCAGTTTACTGGGAACAATAGTATTCTAGTTCATATAGGTACTCAGATACCTTCTGTAGTAACACTGAACCAATGAGGGATTGCACCTTATTCAACCTCTGGGAAGCTGCATGTCTAGTATGCAATATGTTATATAATTTATTTCCTTCAAATAAATTAAATAATGAACCATGAATTACAAAAATGTTTTCTTTTCTTATACTTCTACTAAAATTCGACAGGCTAGATATCTGCCATTTTACTGGTTCAGTTGTATGTATATTTTAATTTTATTTTATATCGAACACCTCCTTAAGTTAACCTTTTTAAAGCGGTGGAAAACAATCTGAACATAGAAATCTATTAATCGCATGATAATGGAAGTATTTTCATATTAATTCACCACAGCCTATTCCTTTTGCATCCAAAAGATTCGTAATGTATAGTAATTGTAGTAAATTAAACCACCAAAATCAAGAAACCTTTATTTCGTAATACTAGCTATAGGTTTTTTGCTTGGTTGAGCCGCCATCTTGGATTTATCATACAGGTGACGCCTCCCGCAGGTATGAGTCAGCAATATAGTTCTCCTATATCTATGGTCTTTTGTATATACAACACGAAAAAATGTCATATTTGAAAATCCCCAACTACGGCAAGACGTACGATTTATACAGTCAAACCTATTTGCAAAAATGAACAAAATGAACTATATTACACGACAGTACGACACTATACTTTGCATGGTAAAAAAATTCACGTTACCTGGTACAATTCCCTTTTCTCCCAGATTCATATTTTTCATCATCATATTATGCATTTTATCTGTTTGTTCATAAATAGAGGACAATTTCTGTTGGACAAAAACTGTTGGCTTGTAACTCCTTCACACGACATTCATGTAATTCTTGAACTCTCTCCGTAGGGAAATCATCCTCGCTCATTTGACGAATATTATCCACAAAGGCGGTATCAATATTAACTACTGTTAATGCGTTGGCTACTAGCTGAACATAATTGTCAAAATCAGTTTTGACTATTTCTGGTTTTGGTGAATGGCAAAGTGCGTTTCTCAATAATCGTAGCTGATCAATTGCCACAGCGCGGGTCTCATCTTCATTTCCTGATGAACTTTGAACTGATGGACGAAAAGTACCAGGAGGTGGTTTAACTTTCTTCAAATATAAATCATTCAAAGTGGATCCCTTGCTGCCTGGAACACCAAAGGTTTTGGCATAGATTGTTGCTTTAAACAAAGCTGTGCAGTCCCACTCCTCAATTGATTTCGTAGTTGGTATATCTGTTTTACCACCTTCAGATTTAAGAAGCATGTTCCGTACTGTGATACTGTCATCCCATGGAATGAATCCTGGTCTTACAGCAACCTTGCTGTCCCACATGGTGATAAAAATTTGACGCAACACCTTGGGAAACTCATCAAGAACAAGTGTAGAAAACTTAAAGAAATTCAATTGTTCCTTCGAAAATGGTTTCACTGCCATCGTGAAGCAAAATCTAGGCCATTTAATATCTTTCTGTGCGAAGTATCTCCAAAAGCGATAAAAATACAAAAAAATTGATTATTGCGATCATACTGGACATAAATATATTGAATTTTTTATACTCATTTCACATTGAAATATAATCGTCGCAGATTTCCATGAAAGCTATGGTTTTATATGAGGTATATATGTTTTTCCACTCATTGTTTTTCCATATCGCAATATTTTATCCTTTAATGTGTGATACGAAATGTTCATAAAATAATCGTGATACAGTATTCTTTGCTTTCAAACCATTAAAATCAGCAAATTGTTCCAAAATATACTTTCAGTATAGATTACAACATATTTAACAGACATACAGTATTTAAATCGTATAATCTTATAGAATTTTATATAGCTAATTTGCGTTTTTTGAAACAATCGAGTTTTCTTCAATTCTTAATATTATAACGTATTTAACAATTATTCACCGAAGTGGAGGTGAACAGTAGTACAAAAATATTCACCGAGACGGGAGGCGTTGAGGTCAATATCCTGTAGCACTATTACCATATACTCGAGAGGTGGATAGCGCCTTTCGCGCAATTTGATTGGTTTGTTTTAAATTTTCGTTGTATTATGTACAACTGAACCCTCGATGAAGCGTATAATTTCGGTGTATTTATTGATTACCTTTTCTTGTTATATTTAACGTTTTTAAATAAAGATGCTTCTTGGTCTTTGAAGAGATGAATTATATTGTAATAAAGCCTCATAAATAATAACCTGTCTTAGTCAGATATCCTTTTGACCATGACAGGACCATTTGCATTGTTTAAGCTTCGCGTTATACGTCAAACGTCAGGCAAAGAAAAGTTTACGGTATCAGGCAATAAAGAATAAATGAACTTGCTGTTTTAAAACTGAAATACATAATTATTCTTTCGACGCAAGAAAGAAAATATGAAACGAAAACGTTCAACGAAAATTTTGCCAAGAAAGTTCGAACGTGCCGTTTGCCGTTCCCGGAAACGTGAAGCTTAAACTCCATATTAATTGTTGAATCCACAATACTCGCCTGGGCGCAGGGTGCCCCAGCTAGTAATAATTGACTATAAAGTACAATACCAGTGTCTGGTGCATGTAACATTGTAAATATTCACGTTGTTAGTTGTACCGCAGGCACGGAGGAGTCTTGGCGTTCGTGTGATAACAAATAGCTATATGTACATTCTGTGTTGGTGTAATGTACTCAGGTGAATAAGATGCTTGTGATGTTACTCTGAGTGGAATCATTCTTGATCGTTGAGTTTCAGCAATGTCATGCAGTGCAGGAAATAATGTCACATAGGATAGATTTCAATTAATGTCACATAGGATACATTTCAGTTTGTTTGATCGATCAGTCGGTGTAGAAGGTATATAATGTTTTTACGGCGAACGGCGTGCTCAATTTCTTTCCTTGCAAATGAAATATGACCCAGCTTATCGCTTGAAATGTAACGCAACACTTATTATTTATGATATTCAGTGTTTAGCAGGAAGTCGTGTCAATGGTGTCATGATAAATACGAATTTAGAACAGTTCCTTTCACAATTTTAGCGGAAAGTACAACACAGTTGCCATTTTCCAAACGCAATTTTCCACCCTCCGTAAGGCATATTTCATTTACCCCGCGAAATCCGGGAACCACGTGACCAGCTCCGACCATTCCTCCATAAGTGGGAAAAGCCTGGGAACGAGGTTGTGGCAAGAGAACACTAGAGACCTTTCGATTTAGGACGGCAACGTGACGGCAACCAATTTCCAATACAACAAATCATAGAAAAGAACTGAATAATTACATTAAATATATGAATAATTTAGACATTGTCCTTCGCTCTGTTTACAACGCCAAATCACAGATTTTCACGTCTTGATACATTTTAATGATTATATGCAATAAAAATAGTTAATACCAAGCACGAGCTTGTGGGTGTCTAATTTACATTCATATTATTCAATTATTCACATTGATCCAGCAAGCTGTTCCATTTACTGTTCGGAGTACTCCGGATTTTTGGAACACTAATGGAATGGAATGGAACAGAAGAGAGTCACATGACTGTTCTGAACTGTTCTGACTACCCCGATTTTCGAGTAGGGACAGTCAGAACAGACACGTGAAACTGGCACACTGCCTATTTTCACGTGATTGGAACACAGGGGGTCCAACTAAGAGCTGTGTTATGAATATGAATAAAACATTAATTTTTATAACGTAATATGAATAAAATATCATAACGTAATAAATTTAAATTATTGCACTTACTTGTATAAATCATAAGAGCTTGCATTTACAACGAATAGCTTCAAACAGGACGCTAATATATGCTCAGAAACATTGATTAGAACGATTGTTCAAATATGGCGAATAAATTGACAAAACGAAAATATTACATGACGTTCCAACGAAAATAACAGAAAGGATTGCGGGCGCGGAGCGAAAAGGCGAGGGAAGAAATAAATAAAAGGGATGAAACAAATATCACGCGACTTTTTAAATTGCTTCTAGACTATCCGTTTAAGCTTTTTGTGGTATTTTTAGGGCTCAGTAGATGTTCTCTTACATGAGCAAGCCTACAATCAGTGACAAAAGGTTTTTGGACAGTGATATAATATAGACATATCTGCGCATTTCCAAATACTGTTCAGCTTAATAACACTATCCCTCCCTCCCCCACCCTAAACAATGTTGGGTCGCTGGCAAGGAACATTTTGTGCAGGTATTTCCACACAACATTGAACGGGGGGTGCGGGGGGTCGATTATGTTGTAAACGTACGCTGTTTAGCTATTTTGTCTAAAGTGTTTTGTCACTGATTGTCCGAAACGGTATTTTAAGCCAAATTAAAATTTCAGTTATTGAAGCTAGAATTACTTGTATTTTATAGTATTACCAATGGTGTTTACAAATATAATAGATACCGTGTTTTGGTGAGCGTAAACATGGTTAATTTGCGCATACATTGTATGTTATTATTCTAGTTTAATCATAATGCGTCCATGCACGTTTCCAGAACCAGTCCAACATTGGGAATTTCGTAGTTTGGAACTGCAAGCGAAACTAGTAGAGCAATCTGGAATTTAGGGCAGGTAAACACGTTCGGAAGCAAATGCAATTATCTTTAAGTGCTTATTACGTTACTTTTGTGGAGAATGTAACGTCATCGGTAACATCCGGACTAATCTCAAAGCTGTAGTATTATAAAGCGCACAGTATGCATGCTATAAATAAGAGCTAGTTATATAAAAACAAAGTAATAATGGCATATAAAAAAACTATTTCAGATACAACGCGAGCGTATGTGCTATTTCTTGGTAAAGAGAAACGATATTCATGCAGAGCGATTGCTAAAAAAGCAAGAATATCTAAAGCGTCAATCTCTCTTATTCTGAGAGGAAAAGTTCAGCGCAAGCAAGATTTGAAAACATGCAAGAAAATTGGTAGACCAAAGAAGCTGTCAGATAGAGATCGGAGAAAATTAATAAGAACAATAAAAGCTCTGCGTGATAAAGACCCAAATTTTACTGTTAAGCGCTTGGTTGCGCACAGCGGACTGCTGTCACGTGATATTTCGTATCGGACATTTTATCGTGAGGTGAAAGCAGCTGGATTTGATTATCTACCTGCGCGTAAAAAGGGGGTTTTAACAAGCCGTGATCGCACGAAAAGAAAGTCGTTTGCGCAACAATGCAAGAAGATCCTTTCCACAAAGCCCGGATTCTTCTCGCGAAATATTGCCTTCTATTTAGACGGGGTTTCTTTTGTTTATAAGACACAGCCTCTTAGTGACGCTTTAGCCCCTAGAGGGCGTGTATGGAGAAGAAAGAGCGAGGGTTTACAATTGACGGCAAAAGGATCTAAAACCCTTGCGGGTGGAAAACGGCTTCACTTACTGGTCGCAATTTCTCACAACAATGGGGTTGTATTGGTCGAAGAATATGAGAAAATGACCGGTACCTATTTCGCTGAGTCCGTAAAAAAAAAATTTCCAGCACTACTATCGCGCAAGCGTGGAAGAAAATGGTTCATAATGGACAACGACCCGTCTCAGCGAAGCCTAGCAGCTAAGACAGCTATAAAGGAAGAGGGATGTGAGTTATTTTGTATCCCAGCGAGATCTCCAGACTTAAATCCAATAGAAAACATGTTTCACATAGTTAAGAAGCAGCTTGATGCTCAAGTTAGAGACTCACAGATTGTGCGTGAGACATGGGAACAATTTAAGACTAGAGTTATAAAAACTTTATATAATGTTTCTGTAGATTATGTAAATAATATTATCACAAGCATGCCTAAGCAAATACACGCTGTATTGCAGGCTGACAGCTTTGGAACAAAATACTGACAAAGTTACTATGACAACGGATTGTACATCGTATTTCCATATCAACGAATCCCACACATGTTCGCATAATAATTTCCATATTTTCTCACATGTATATGATCGTTGTTGGGAATTTAAACATACAGTTGCGTGCGTAATGAATACATTAATACTTTGGCTTCAAATACGCGTGCATTTCATTATAAAAGACAGAGAAAATGGGTTAAAAGTCGACGAATCCCACTTTTCTATTTACTAATTATGATGTCATATTTCAACTTACTATAAATAGTGGGAATCGTTCGACGAAAGTCGGAATTTCATAGAATCAAATTGATTTCGCTAGAAGTTAACCACATAATCGATTCCTTTGGCATATTTACAATAAGCTAAGAGAGAAAAACAGCAAGAATCGTTGAACTTAATTCCCTTTTCTACATAAAATGTGACTGGGATTCATGTGGGATTCGTTGATGCGTCATAAGCCACTTAGTTAGGGATGACCAGAATACCTATTTGTTAACACCTTAATGTAGCCTACGTTAAATTAAAATACATTATTATAGATCACTGTTCAGCAACTGTTAACTCGGCAAAGCATCGAGCGCAAGCCGCAATGTTTCTTTGTTCATCACGCGGAATTTGCTATGAAGCGGAAACATTCGCCATCTTACATTCATCATTTCTGTGTTCACGCGATCAATAGATCCATTGTTAATTAAAATAAGTGGGGCTTCACTCGTTGCAAAGAATAGCGTGTCCCTCTCGAGAACAATATCTTTGCTCATCTGATTTTTCGGGGCTGGAAAATGAACCATGTCACCTTCTAAGACCTGCAAAAACTCGCACCACAGTATAAGGGATGGCTTCCATCTGAAATCATTAAGTAAAACAACTTCAGCCGATTCAATTCCCAACCAAGCAAAATTTCCAGATGCGGGATTAACAAAACATTCGTATATTTTTTTCAGGGGTGAAACTAGAAATGTTTTTCCACAATTTGCTGGACCGTAAATATAAATATTTCGGTACTTCCCCCTTCCTCTAGATAGGGCGTCATATATGGCTGAAGAAAAGTCTGACTTTTGGATCCCATTCATATCTAAAATTTCAAGCGCAGCACGTTGCCAAGCACCATCACAACCGCCCTCACAGGTTTTGCCTAGTTGATCTTTCAACAGCTCTATTCGTGATTTCTTTGACCTGAGAAGACGTTCTTGTGCACAACTAAGTTCTTTGGCTGTCTCCAAAGCATCATTCACTACTTTGCTGCCTCTATTAGACACAAATTCGGCTAAGTCCGTCTTGCCTTCATCTGTCCATCTCGCTGCCAATGCCATAAGTTCTAAACTACACGTAATTTTGTGATGTTGTATAATTTGTACAACATCGAATGTTGACAAGCGCTTTCGTTTGTTTTTTGAGGCCTTTCGATTGCATTTCCGCTTTTTTGTTGCATTTGACATTTTAGGGGGACCAGTCGTGTTGGATAGATCAGGGTGATCAGGGGAGACAATAAATTCGGTGTCTTCCTTCGTTACATATTTATATGCCCCATAATAATTGTCGTGGTGATCCGAAAAGTTTACTTTAATTCCGTGTTTCTCGTCAATATAATTTCTTGCACGCAGCCAGCGTGATTTTGTGTTCAGTTTTATGGCCATATGGAAATGACGACCGCCATTTTGATGTTGCTCTTCGCTCACTACCCATTGTAGAACTTTCGATCTGTAACATGATTTCCAGGGATTGACTATAACTTTGGCAAAGGCTGGCTTTGTTAAACCAGAAGCATCGCATTGACTAAAAGTAATTAGAAATACTGACCGTTGCAGTGGAGACGAATTAGGGATATCCTGTTGTATAGCAGACATAACTCTGCAGCTTAGTTTAATGTGAACATAAACTTATTGATTCTTTATATACTTTCTCTGATGAACACACCATACAAAATTATGTTAGCACACCTACATAACAATAATTATATTTTTCCTGCTCATTTCCTTTACTACACACTTCAAATTTGAACACTTTATTGGATAAGTACAAACGTTTCCGTTCCAACCCTACATTTTAAGCCATTTATACGTGTCCGAATTTATACCTATATCACATTTATCTGAAATAACTTTATTATTAGCCGACCAGCCATATAATGGGTACATACTTGTTCAGTTTCCTGGTCAATTTAAACTTTTCAATCAAGGCTGAACATGTACAAAAACTTGATATTTAATATGATACAATATCTTGCCAACTGCCTAGACAATCAGTGACAGAAGGTTTTTGGACAGTGATATATTATAGACATATCTGCACATTTCCAAATACTGTTCAGCTTAATAACACTATCCCTCCCTCCCCCACCCTAAACAATGTTGTGTCGCTGGCAAGGAACATTTTGTGCAGGTATTTCCACACACAACATTGAACGGGGGGTGCGGGGGGTCGATTATGTTGTAAACGTACGCTGTTTAGCTATTTTGTCCAAAGTGTTTTGTCACTGATTGTATATATATACATATATATATACATATATATATACATATATATATATATATAAAAATACATATATATACATATATATACATATATATAGAGGATATTAGACGGTTGCGAAGAGATATGGATTTTATGTTCGAGTGGCAAAAACAATATCTCAAGTGAGCGCAGCAAACGAGTGAGATATTGTTTTTGACACGAGAACATAAATCCATATCTTCTCGCAACTGTTTAATGTTCTGTTTATTATATGGACTTACTTAGAGTGACAAAAATACACACAAAGGCGACATGTCAATAAGCACGCGAAAGACCAGTGTAAAAGCGATATCTTTCAAAATTATAGTGCAAACATAAAACTAGAATAAATTTTACTTATCTCAAGATGTCTTTTAAATGTTTTCGTTTCATTTCCAATGTTAATTTCGTTTTAAATACAAACCAAAGACCAGTTGTATTTTCAAAACAACAACAATGAAAATGGCGGGAAATTTTCGAACTTCGTATGTCACTAGCAGGGGTGAAATACGGAAAATACGCGACCTGGTCCCGGATGTAGTGACATATGAGTTCTACGAGTGTTTTAGTTTCCAGTAAAACACGATTGTCCATATAATAAATACATATACATATATATACATACATATACATATATATACATATATATACAATATATATATATATATGAGGGTCTAGATGGGGGGTGCCCACAACAGTAAACATTAGATTTTTTTAGTAATTTAACAGTAACAGTAAAAAATTTCACATAACAGTAAAATTTTGCTAATTTCACGAATACGTAAAAAAGCACGTAATTGCTCCTATAATATATAAGAATCACGCAATATAATTTTATATTTGTACTTATATAATTTTTAAAACTGTATTACCAGATGTAACTCAACATATGTTGCAATATCTGTATTTTATTAAATAATAAGAATAAATGGTGACAAACTGTGTAAGACTTGTAAATGACTGCAGTCAAGTTACAAATCTAATCTAACTGCTGCTCGTAGTGTTCGTCCTGATCGAGAGGTTCTTCTTGACTGAACACGAATAAGTGCAAGTTCATCTGAATCAAGACCCGCCCCATCGACTTCTGTTTGGTCGACTTCTGTTTGGCTTCCCCCGGCATTTGGGCCACTTGTGTTGAGGTTGTTGGGGGTATAGCTGTAGTATCTCTTGTAGGCCGATCTTCGGGGTTAACTTCCTCGCATTGTTCATTAGCTTGCATTGATTCTGTTTCCTGCAATCCACTTCTGATGTCTGCGAGGTCAGCCTCTACCGACATTCCACAATCAGCGTCAGTATCAAAATCAACTGTTTGAAATGCAGTGGATGCGTTCACATACACGTTAGGTGGAAGAGCACCGGCTTTATCTTTTGTAGTTTCGCTTCTTACTGTGCGTTGGCGCACAGGTCGATACGGTTCCAACCAATCTCTCATAAGCTGTTGGTCTTCTTGAGACATCGTTATCGAAGGCAAAGGTGTCATGTAAACAGCATCAGACAACTTCATGTGGTTGACTGGAACAGGGTAGTAAGAGCGTGGATGGGTGAAGTACTTTGCAGACCAATTGGTAGTTCTTTTCAATGATTCTTTAACAATAGACCCGAAGTCCATGGCGTATTTCAGGTAGCTGAATGTATCACTTTTGAAATGTGATACGGCATGAAGATTCTCCACCACAGTGGAGAGAAGTGTTGATATATCTAGTTCATAGTTTGGAAAGTCTTTAAAGATTCTGTTTAAAGCTTCCATTCCTTCCACGAGCAACTTTATCGATTCCTGAGTCTGATTGGATATGGTTCCTTCAGGTCCGTTGGTTGATTTGTTTGCAAGATCATGATTGACTTTGACCTTTTTTACTGATTCTTCCATGAAAGCAGCCACTTCGGCAACGCTAGAAGTAGCATCGGAGATACTAATAGTGGTAGATTGTCTGGCACTAGCGACCCGAGCATGGATTTCAAATGAATCGTACAACCTACCAAGTTGTTTCAAAAACTCAGCAGTCCCTGACAGCCTTGTGATCATCTTGATACAGCCTGTAGCGGAATCAGTAATATACATCGTGTTACTCTCGGAGCAGATTCCCTGTAGTTGCGTAAATGATGCGTAGTCTGCGGGTCCATCTTCGTTTCCACACCGTCCTGAACCAGCCACTACTGACTCGACTCCGTCCACAGGATTAAACATCTTAACCTGGTTCTGGTCGTTGAAAATTAGGTTGTTGCCATACGCTGATATTCCACAAAAGGAATGTACCTCTATTACTTTCGTGACACAGAGACTGACAAGGTCGAGTTTGAATATTCCTCCATCAGCGTCACCATCAGGGTCGATAGCCTTATCTATGCTGCCAGCGAAGTACACATTACCATTAATATGTGTGAGTGCCCTGATGGCAATTACGGCAGGTGGATACTGTGTTTCTTGAAATACTTTTCCATTCACTGTAATACCATCTCGAGATAATTCTATCTGGAGTATTTTTTAGAGCAATCATCGGCACAAACAAGGATACCAGGTGTTGCAAAGCAAAGTGCTGAAGGTTTGTGTAGCTTGGTCTCCAAGTTGACAACACATTTCATCTTAAGATGTTTGGATATATTCTTCAAATGTAATTCCAGCCTCTTCCTCAACTCTGGAAGTGTCCCAACTATCGGAAGGGAACGTTTTTTGAGATGTTCCACCATCTGCGCCTTAGATCGCAATGCACTGACTTTGAGGACTACAACATTTTCCATATCAACAAATCTCACTCTTTGAGCACCTCTTTCTGCAATATATGCTACTCCTTCAGAGAAACTGACGCTTCTCCCCTCAACAAGGTTTGATACAAGCACTGTGACATCGACAGGGTTGTGTAGTCGTAGGAGCAGCAACTTGGACAATTTCTTTTCCGGGTCATAGTCTAATACCAGAAGCTTCCCACAGGGACCAACTGTAATGGCGACTGGATGTGGATACATTCTGGGCATGTTACTCTTCCAAAAGCGGTACTTCTCCGGTGCCAATGTGTGGACTACAAACTGAACATCTTCGATAGCTTTGATTACATCAGACCGTGTAAGCAATACAATACAACTAACATCCATCCTGTCCTTATTCCGGACAGATTCCAGTGTAAGAAGCTTTCTCAATTTCTTTCCAACCTCAGACTTCTTGCAATCACGTAAAGTTCGAAGGAGGACCAAGTTGCTTCTCTGCTCATTTAGTAAAATATACCAATTCGCCCAGCTACACTTAATGCTTTTTCCAACGTGTACAACGTCTGGAAGGACGACTAGGAGTGACAATACAGGTGGAAGAGAACCCTCTTTTCGCATCTTGTTCAGTCGAATTAGGGCTTACTTGTTGCAGCTCTCACAGTCGGATACCACAACTAAGACAACTGTTCGAGTACACTTTGCTCCATCAGCGATACAATTAGAACATGCCCGGAGAGATGGGATATGACTAACTTGTCTTTGAACAGCACAGTCGGCACAGACTTCTGAGTTTTCCAAACAATGTTCACAGATACTAGAACAGTTTGAATCTCTATGGGAAATTATGTGTTGCGTAGATCGTTGTCTCGCAAGGCACCTTTCACAGATTTGAATGGCTTCGACTGCTTCTTGGATTATGTTGAAAATCTGCTCGCCAGAAACACATTTTGGAAGATAATAGACACCAACCGGCATAGATGCTCCGTTGTCCATTGCACTCACGTGCAGTACATTTGTGCTTGTCACAAGATTATCCTTCACTTCGTTTCCATTCGGAACAGGATGGGCTTTAACATACTCTAGAGAAACGTCTTCCAACATACCAACGACACACTTTCGTCTGGTCTCAAATTCAAGTCCCGGTTTAAGGGCAGTCCCGTCCATTGCAACTGCTGCGGGAATCACTTGAACTAATGCATTATCAATGATGCATTCGGCTTTAGAACTTGGATCTTTTGAAATCTTTAAGAAAGACTGGAGATGTGGTTTAATGATGCCACTTCTTGTTGTGTACCCCGCTTGAGAACGCTTAGATGTATTAGATGATGGCCCACCAAGATTGAAATCAGCGAACGTGTCAAACCTTTTGATGCCACCCTTTCCTGTCCCAATGAACCCTGGACCGCGTATGAAGTTACGTGTCCGTTGTCCACCAAGATACTTTATAGTATCATAAGATTCGCATAAATCTTCGTCCCATTTGAAATCTGATGACGAGTTGGGGTCAATGAGAGCAAATGCAGTGGTGTTTTCTAAGAACTTGTAAAATATGCAATCCTGTGGTATTTTTCCTTCCTCCAGAAGACGATTCAGCCTCTTGGCAAGTGGATGTGCATGTATAATAGACCTGTAATAACAGACAAAAGGCATTTTTAAGCAAACTGGTAAATTTTGGGAATGTGAATTCAGAATTGAAAAAAAGCTTCAATGACAGTGTACGGCCAAATCAAAAAGCTTTAAGCATGGCATCAATGACAGTCGTGCTATTGGCTATTGAGCTAGCGTATTTCCCCTCAATTGCTCAAAAATTTATTTTAGAATTCATGAATTTAGGGCGTGCAGAAAATTAACTGTCTCAAAACTTACAGAGGAAAATGCACCATTTGATCTTGATCCATACATGTAGTACTGATAGTCCGGACATCTTTTTTTTCACTTTGGTTTTCATCACAAAAGGTACTTATCATCGTAGGGTCATCATGCTCATCATCGTGCACATCATCGTGCCACTTGCATTTATTAAGAATGTGTCGGATATACACGATATAGAGGACATAGAACCAGCGTCAAAGTCGTCTAAGTCTTCATTAAGAGTTAAACTATCACTGTGAATACCGAAAAACTTAGATTAGCAAATTCTTGCTTGAATTATTGGGAATAACTAAACATAATGCTACATTTGTTTGTTTATCATTGCATATTCTATTATATCAATGCATATTCTATTTGACCTATTTTCAAAACACACTACACCAAAATCATATATGGTATATAATTAATATTATATATATAATGTTATAACTATATATATATATATATATATATACAATCTGCAGACATGCATGTTTCGGCGTCCTACGCCTCATCAGTGCAGCTTGGTACACATCTAGACACGCAATGACCTTCGTATTTATACACATGACACTTGCTCTCCCAAGCGCATGTGGTGCAACACGAGCCATTAACGCATCCAGACATGCGCAGAGTGACATGGGGCCAGAGTGAGCGCTCAAACAACCACGAGGGAAGTGAGCTTTGCATTATCGCTAATGGACACCCAATTAACTCCAGAGTGCTCTACAACAGCGAAGTGAAGGAGCGTAATATATATATATATATATATATATATAATATATATAGTCTGATTAATAAGACGTATAAACATAAACAAATTTGAACAATTACTTTATATTCTCAGTCCAGTGTTGTATAAAACATATAGGTATAAAACGTCATATAATAAAATCCAATATATTATCTTGCCTTCTTACGGCATACACTGTGATCTACTGTGCATATTGAGAAAAGCACTTTCAAGAATGTCAAGAATTTCACTTGTCTGACTCCTCAGTTGCGTCAACTCCAGTAAAGTCTTCGTGATCTTCATTGACTTCAACTTCTACAACTGTGTTAGCCATGGAGGTAGGCCTGGATAAATTATGCCGGCATAATTTCGAGCATAATAGGTCTTCAGGAGCATAATGAGCACTTTCGAGCATTGCGAGCATAATGCGGCATAATGCTATTAATTCCGGCATAATGTTAAAAAAATAATAGTTTCGTCTTTGGCCAGAAAAATTTGGAAAGAAATTTCTAATTTTGAAAAAAGAAATTAAAAGAAATTTCTAACTTTGTTTACTAATTATTAGTGCCCGGGGGGCCGGGCACTAGTAATTAGTAAACAAAGATGGCGGATCGAGATGAGAATAACGAAAACATGGTCATTGTCGACGACGACGGCGAGTTTGACGACGATGAAGATGGCGAAGAGGTTCAAGAGGGGCAAGGACAAGGAAATAATGAGTTGGTTGTCAATGCTTTGACTTTATTAAGAGCTCCCAGAAAGTCAGACCTGGCTCGTAAACGTAAAGTCAATGTTAATCCACGCAAACATCAAACTCGCATTGTACATGCTAAGACTTCAACTGCCCCAAATGTTTCTGTAGCTGTAAGAATCCAAGAATTTCCACAAGAATGCTTCAAGGATACTGCGATTGGCAAGGGAGCATTTTTTTGTGAAGCATGTCGCGAAGAAATATCAGTTAAGAGATCAACTATCATAAATCATATAAACACTCACAAACATCTGTCTGGAAAAGAGAAATTACACCAAAAGGCAAAACGTGAGAGAGATCTGGCAGAAGTTCTACGCGCATATGACGAAGAAAACCATCCGATAGGGGAAACATTGAGTATGAATACCAGAGTATTTCGTCTTAAAGTTGTAACAGCCTTCATGAAGGCTGGAATAGCCATTAATAAGATAAATTGCTTCAGAAGTATCTTAGAAGAGTCAGCTTATAAACTGACAGATCGAACAAACATGGCCCAGCTGATTCCCGTGGTACACCAGGAGGAGAAAAAAAACACTCTTGAAGAACTGACAGGAAGAGAGATATCGATTGTGTTTGATGGTACCACCAGGCTAGGAGAAGCATTAGTTATTATTGTTAGATTCCTCGACAGTGAGTGGAAAATCCAACAGAGGCTTTTGCGATTTCTCTTGCTTGCTAAATCTTTAGCAGGAGAAGAAGTTGCAAGGGAGATCATCAGTGTTCTTGCCAGAGAGTATGTGTTGCCACAGAGCTACCGGTTGCTACTATGCGTGATAGGGCCAGTGTTAACAATGTAGCAGTGAGAACTATTAAGGTGATTTTCCCCAATATTCTAGATATTGGTTGCTTTTCTCACACTCTTGATCATGTGGGAGAGAAGTTCGATACTCCTGTTCTCACCAAATTCATCAAGCACTGGGTCTCACTATTTGCACACTCACCACATGCCAAACTTCTGTGGAAAGATCGTACTGGAAAAAGTCTCACGACGTACTCACCAACAAGATGGTGGAGCTAATGGGAATGCATTAAACAGGACTTATTCCTTTTCTACCCCCATGTCACAGCCTTCCTGACTGCAAATAGGGATACTGGCACTGCTCCAGCCACAACAAGGAAGCTACTGGACATAATCGCAAACTCTGAAGCCAAGCTGAAGATAGAGATCGCAGCAACTGTTGATGCAGGTGAACCATTCGTGAAGAAGACATACAGCCTCGAAGGGGACGGTCCTTTGGTACTGGAAGCTTATGATGCTATCATCGAACTTGAAAACTGTGTGAGATTGATGCACATGCCAAATGTAACACAGATTTCCTCTGAATTAGCTGCCACAGATGGTCCAGATCAACGCGACCAAGAACAGTGGCAAGATTAGGCTTGTCAGTGTGTCCAGCCAGGATTTAACTACTTTCTGGACACCTTTGCAAATGCAGATAATCTGTCACAGCCACTGTCTTGCTTCAAAGCAGCACGGTTAGTTGACCCTAGAAGGGTTAATGACTTGGTACGTACAGTTGCAGATGTCAAAGAGCTTGGAAACTTTCCATTCATAAGTAACACTGATCTGGATGGACTAGTTGCGGAGCTACCTGCATACCTGGCTGCGTCAACTGGGGTTCATAACGATGACATCCTTGCTTGGTGGAAAAGACATGAGGACGTTTTGCCCAGATGGTCAAGGGAAGCACGAAAGATTTTCCTCTGCCAGCCTTCGTCTGCTGCAGCAGAACGAGCCTTTTCTCTCCTGAAAGCATCCTTCAATGAACAGCAAGATTCAGCACTGGAAGATTATATTGAAACATCCCTGATGCTGCAATACAATGGACGCGGCCTTGGACGGTGATGATTGTGATGAATGATGATAAACTATTAGTATTATCTGATTATCTGATAGTATTAGTGATGGACTGATGGTCCTGAATCCTGATGGACTGATAGACTAATAGTCTTAGTAATATACATTACTACAGTCTACACTCTACAGTCTACAGCCTACAGCCACAGGACCTGTTACTCCTGTTAGACTAGTCTGTTAGGATTTAGGAATTAGGAACCTAGAAACATTGTTGTATTCATATTTCATACATTGTTACAGTTGGGAGTTAACAGTTACCACTTCTCATGTTTTCATGTTTGAGTATTTTTAACACGGGCCCGCCCCGGGGCCCGGGGGCCGGGAATCAGCGGATGTGCATGTTGGAATTGAATTTTCTTCGAGCATAATTCGAGCATAATAGGTTTTTTTGTGAGCATAATAGTTGATTTAACGAGCACTGCTTCTGGGCA